GAAGGAGCAAACTTTGCCCCCGAGCTGCCGCCGCTGCCAGCCCTCTGGACCGTGAGTGCGTACGGTGGGCACCCGCCCCATCCGCCTCCCGCAGCACCAGCCCGCTCTCCGCCTGCTGCAACCTCCCTCTCCCCCGCTTTCCTCCTCTTAAATTTCGCACAGTACCATGTAGGGGGGCTTGTCGTTATTATTATTTTTTTTAATTTATTTCTCACCGAAGATGGTTTAATTTTTTATATTTCTATTATTTATTAATCCCTCCCGACCGTAAACCTGCCCAGCCTTCTGCCAGCTGGGCCAGAGCATAAAGCCTGGGACCGCACCTGGGGCAATGAGCCCTGCGCTGAAGAAGCCTCCTAGAGGGATGTGCCGGGGCCGCGCAACAGACTAGATCCAAGCCCCGAAGCTTACACCGCCAGTTACCCCCTCTCCCTCAGCCCCTCCGCCCGCCTTTTCTGCGCCCCGTTCCCCGAAGCCTCGGATCGGTCCCTGCGCTGCGCCCCGGAGACCTTTGCCGGGGTGAAAAGCCCGGAGCCCACGGCGAGACGGGGCGGCCGTGCTAGATGCATGGGGGAGGGCTCCGGCTAATGCAAGTTCTGGGCTCCTGCAGGGACCCCGACAACTGTCAGCAGCAGCAGCAACTCGGGGCCTCCTCCTCTGCTTCCTCAGCGATGCTTTTCCACAGTCTGTCCGGCGCGGAGATGCACGGGGTCATCGACGAGATGGATCGGAGAACCAAAAGCGAAGCACCGGCCATCAGCTCGGCTATAGACAGGGGAGAGACCGAAACGGTAGGAGGCGAAGGAATGGGAAAGTCGTTCAGCCCCCTAAACATAACAAACCCCTCAAAGATAGAGCTTTTCCCTTAAAATAACAGATCGGGGGGAAACGTATGCAAAATGCTAAATCGGAAGAAAATTAAGCAGAAAGGCACCCTGAAAGATTAAATAAAACCGTGGGGAAAGGCACGAAACTGTTAATTATTAATAATATGCATAGTAATAGTAACGCTTGGGTGAAATAAACGGTACTGCTCTTGCGAGAAAACAGAAAGATAGACCAGCCTTTTGGTAGCGTCCAAGAACTCCTTCCCTTCCCCCAGCCTGTCCGGCCTTCCAAAGTTTTTAGGAAGAGGCAAAGTATGCTTTTAGACAGATAACGTTTTGGCACAGCGAAATTTTTGTCTGCGGAATGGAAACACAAACATCAAAGAATCCAGTTCTGCGTTATTTTTCAGGTAGGATGGCTACACCGGGGTAGTCGTTAGAGCATTTATAAACAAAAAACCCAAACTCGAGTGCCTTTAAGTCATTATTTTTTTAAATACTTGTAATACATGTGAACATTGGGTTTGCAAACATGGCAAACAGAACTATAAGATATGTTTCAGGGAGACGGATGGATGCAAATTTTTATACATTTGCCACTTTTTAGCTTATGTCTGCTGATGCATAGTATTTGTATATTAATACATTTAGATAATAAAAAGATGCATGCTTTTAACCAGAGTGAAGCTAGCAAAGTGGAAGAGATTTCTGAAGTGTGTTAACTGATTCAACATTTTATGTATGCTACTTTTTTTGTCAAGAAATGATAATCCTCAAGTTAAACGATCCCGTATTTTGGTAAAGTGCTGTTTTCTAAGCTGATACAGGCATATGCAAGAAAGATATCTGTTTTCAGTTTTTAAAACTTCATCAGTATGTGTTATGTCTCTTAATGCTACGTAGAAATTTACTTAAAGGTGACAGTGAGAGTATTTAATCCTGAAATGCTGGCTGAAAAACACCCTGTATACTACAAGGGTGGAACATGATTTCTAATCTAAACCGTTTTGGTTTTCTTTGGAAAAGTTAATATTTCTCCGTACAATTAAACAATATCAATTCATCTTTCCTGGAATAAATATTGTGGCATGATATCTTTATAAGCTATATATAATGTTATGTCTACACACGTGTATATAATAAACAGTGGGATAGAATACTGGGTCCTTAAATACCATTTCTGGATCTTAGAACATTTTTTGTTACCAGAAAAATCGTATTTCGTTTAAAGTGGATTTACAAGAAACTACTTTGGTTATAAAACGGTTCTGAATGAGAGTTCAGATAATGCCTTAAAGAAATAAGCTATCAGTGGACTTGTGTGGCTGAGGTACCAAGGTAGTGCCATGGTTTTATTTATATGTAGTTCTGATAGTGGGAACAGTGTAGTGCAAACAGCAGTGCTCGTAGCGATGGGATTTTGTGATCTCTGCAGATACTGGATGAAAGTAATCAGTCCAGCAAATGCTGAAAAAATAGCTTCATTTTCTTTCGATTCTTCCCTATTAGCTGTCTTTTCTTTTTGCTTTGCATAAGGACTTAAGGCTCTAGAGGAGGTAAAAGCAAACAAACAACTTCCCCACCCCCCCACCCCTGAATCAAAATAAACTGCCGGTTTGTCACATCTGTAAAAAATGTTTCGGGTTCTCTCGCCCAAGAGCAAATCTGCAGTGTGCTTTTGTGCAAAGGGGACGGTAGTAAGTTTGGGACGAAGTAGACAGCAGTGCATTGCACAGTCTGCCACAAACCCTGCTCCAGTCTGAGCCTCCTTTCTTGAATCTCTTTCAAGGTGCCTGCTAAAATAAATAAGCGTGCTTAAACAGTTTTCGATATTTTTCTCCTTCTTTTTTGGTCGAAGTTGACAGAATATCTATGTATTTGTTTTTTGAAGGGTTTCGATTGGATTGCGATTTGACACTAAACTATTAAATTATATAGGGGTTACATTTAGTTTTATTGCTTCCAAGTTTATCCCAGGATAATCTAAAGTGCTCTGTTGTTTTTTCCTACACGTTTCTTTCTTTCCTACACGTTTCCCACTATTTCGTTTTCCTGATAAAACATTCTGAACCTCGGATTTAGTGATGCTCGTCTCCTCTGCAGTTTTATTTGCTGATCCCTTTAGTGCTTTGGGTCACAGCAGATTTGGGTACGTGTTGTTTGGAACCAGCTTGCAGAGGGAGCTGTGTCTGTACCACTGTGACTACTGGGGGGTTTGATCGTAATTCACTCGGAATTTTATAGCTAGGAAAATACACACACAGACACGCTCCACATACACGCACTCACGGAGCATTAACTATGCAGGCACTCTCCGTATATCCATAATAATAAATTTTAAAATTAACTCTCTGCGATTTGCCCTACTCTGTGATTATTGCGCCTGTTTATTGAACAGCATCTTTCTTGTTCTGGGACTGGAAAATCCAAAAAAAAAAAGGGAAAAAAAAAATCCTGGGTCTGATCCAGACGCCGTCCCTAAAACCCGGGGTCTTTTTCTTCTTGTCTCGCGTGCTCTCCTCCGCTCCGCGCTCCTCCGCGTCTGCCGAGCCCCTGCAAGGAGAGGGGAAGGCAGGGGGAGGGGGGGCCCAGCAGTGCACAAGAGTTTCTCCCTCTCGCTAACGGTCTGTAATTGTTTTCCCCCAGCAGACCATGCCTTCCATCAGCAGTGACCGGGCTGCCCTGTGCGCCGGCTGCGGGGGGAAAATCTCCGACCGTTATTACCTCCTGGCTGTGGATAAACAGTGGCACATGCGCTGCCTGAAGTGCTGTGAATGTAAACTCAACCTGGAGTCCGAGCTCACCTGCTTCAGCAAGGACGGCAGCATTTACTGCAAGGAGGATTACTACCGGTACAGCCTGCGCTTCGGCCGCCAGCCTGGGGCGGGGGGGACCGCCCGCCGCCCCC